GCACCTGTGCCCAGGTTGTCCCTGACTATGATCATTTGAGCTGCTCTGAATAGAACAACTGTGGTAAGTTCATGTCTCTTATGTGCAAGCATTGTGCTGCTCTTTTCCTGGCTATCTGTAGGTCTTGCAGAGCTCCCCCAAACAAGACCTAAAATTGAACGCGGCAAAACGCAACGCAGTGCATTCCAGATCTGGTCCAGAAAATGGTGTGAGCCTGCCCTACAGAGTCTATAAATCTAAAATAGTTTTATATATTTTCCTCATATTACAGACTGGAAATGATCTCTTCCCTACTGACGAAAATGGAAAATTAATCTACAATAACACAGACATCCGGGAAACATGGAAGGTACTGTACAGTGTCTGAGCTGGCCAAACTTGGCAAAAGGTGCACTTTAGGTGATATTAAAGTCAAAGAAGAGAATTTATCAAAACTGGAGCAGACAAAATCTGGAGCAGTTGCCCAGGGCAACCAATCAGCATCCACCTTTCATTTTCTAATCTTAACTTAAAGAACAAATTAAAGAGAGAAGCTGATTGGTTGCCATGCACAGGTGCTCAAGATTTTTTTCTGCTCCAGTTTTAATAAATTCCTTCCAAAATGTTTTAAACTAATGCTGATGAAATCACTTACAATGGATGCTGCTCCTTGATGTTTAAAAGTTTTAGTTTCCTGCAGAATTAGCTGGTCCCCTAAGCACTGGTCCTGATATCCTGTTTTAGGGGGGCTACTTTCCCTTGCAGGGTCCTATGGAGCCACCCTTATGTGTGTTAGTGAGCTGTGTGTGTCTCCACAAATACACTCGATAACACGAAATCACCTGCACTCCATACAGCATACAGACCTTGGATGAGAGGTTGGTGCTTGAAGTGACAACGCGGATGGTGCCATGTCAGATACAGTCCATAATACAAGTCACCAGCACTCGATGATGTGTGCAAGAAGTAAAGTACGTTTTGTTAAATTGTCACATGCATCATACAGCCAACGTTTCGGGGGCAACGCAGGGTCCCTACCTCTGGGCGACATAGTGACTGTATGACGCATGTGACAATTTAATAAAAAGTGCTTTACTTCTTGCACACATCATCGAGTGCTGGTGACTTCTATTATGGTCCACAAATACACTGACACAGCAAGGCAATCCACTCTACTCCTCCCTGCTACCCTCTGCCTTCCTTCCTTTCTTCAGATGGACAGCTGCTGCAGACTGCTCTGTCACTTGTGATCTTGTACAGGACAGGAAGTTCGGATAAGCCAAGCTTAGAGAGTTGGAGACAGCAGCTTAAAAAACAAATGATGGCAAAAATGAAGAAAATACTTTGCTGGGCAATGTATATATGTTTGATCTGTATTCATTATTGAGAAAAGATTGAGGGGTGAATTTATCAAAACTGGAGAAGACAAAACCTAGAGCAGATGTGCACTTCAACCAATCGGCTTCTGTGTCTCATTTTCAAATCTTATCTGAGAGATGACGAGAGATGCTGATTGGTTATTATGGGCAACTGCTCCAGAGTCTGTCTGCTCCAACGTTGATAAATTTTCCCCTGATAGTTTAATACTACTAGTACTTCTGCGGTGGACTTTTATAAAAACACTTTAACTGGAATAATAATGTAATATTTCCAGAATGGTATCAGCATGCCACTAACTGGCTTCTTATTCTTTGATTTTTAGGCTTTGGAGGCGTGTAAAGATGCCGGACTCGTTAAATCCATCGGAGTTTCCAATTTCAACAGACGGCAGATAGAATTGATCCTCAACATGCCGGGACTCAAGTACAAACCTGTCTGCAATCAGGTAATAACTGATCCCTTGTCAGTACGAACACTTCTCTATACGTCTGGGGGTTATTGTGTGCAATGCAGTGGACCTGTCATACTATTTAGCTTTTTTTGTAGACCAAGGTATTACTTCTCCTATCCATTTGATAAGAACCAGCATGTCCCAGTGATATCACTATCTGATAAATAATGGGGAAGCTATTTCATTATCAAAATACGTCATGTCCACCTCTCTGTGAGAGCAGACTACTAATATAAACCCTCTTATGATCCTGGAATTTTCTGATCACAGTATTTTTTAAATGTAAAAGGAATCTATAATCGTTTTTTTACAATTTCATTTGTTTTTAAAGTTTGTGAGGTTATCAAATTATGTTTTAAGTATTTTTTAAGAGACTCATTTAGAGCAAGTAACAACGAACAACCCCCACCCTCTGATACTCTCCTCAGTCAATCTACCCCAAATCTCCATCGCCTTTTGGGCATACCATGTTTCTGGGTATGTGGGAATATGTGACCTCCTACCAGGATGTAGTTCTTGGGTCTTAGCAGCAGATTGCCAAACCTAAACATTGTCCTGTGAGGGAGAAGGGACGTAAATAACTCCATGCGTAAGCTCTGACACCGTCTGACACAAAATATACAGAAGGTTTGAAGGGCTCATCGGAGGGTTTTCCCAGCCCCAATGAGCAAAGTTATAGTCTAGATTTGTCTTCCTAATAAGAAAGTCCAGCACTACCCTCAACCATTATGGCAGGCTGTGCTTATCCCTAGTTCAGATGTTGCAGAAGAGGAGAGATTTGTCCCTTATCTAAATTAATCAGGTTTGTTTTTAGCTCACCAGAGCCGTATTGTGCCAGCAACTTTGTACCACAGCTTTGTAGATTTGCCTTTTTTTTATCTGCCAATTCTGTAGCTGCAAAGAGTCAGCCATTCAGCTACACAACTACAAATCATTGGAATCTGCTGTGACAAAGACCTGTACTTTACTTGAATACATTTTTTCTTAGCAACAGAAATGCTTGGGCCTCCTTCACATTTGCCTGGCCCCTTCACATTTGTATGGCCCCTTACGGTGCATAATACACATGTGTGAACGTGCGCTTTGTTAAGGCTGTTGATTTGTATTAACTGGGCTTCCCAACACAAAACGGTCCAAAAATTGAATAAGTCCTTTCTATTTTTAACACATTCCACAGCACATGTGTTGAGAGGCGCTGTTGCAGCCTACTGTAATATGGCGTTGGGGGGCCATTCTAAATAAATGGCACTAAAACACATCATGCCACATCTGAATACAGCAGCCTAATCACCCCTATAAACGAGTCCTTAAAAGAGAACTATGAGGTGAGTGATTTTCACTCAACCTCATAGTTTGAGCCGTCTTGTGACAATGAAACTGTCACACGCCGGCTCAATAGATCGGGAAGTGAGCGAACACATACTGTCGCTCGCTCACTTCTCGATCATCTCCCTGCAGAGAGCCGTGACTGTCAATCACGGCTCCCTGCAGGGATTCCCCGCTCCGATCCTCCAGCGCTGACTGGCAGAATGGACAGGGGAGGGGTGGGTACAGCTGGCTCTGCCTCTAGATAGGCAGAATCAGCTGTCAATCACGCAGCTGGGTGGATCTCGACAGTAATGTCGGGATCCGTCCCGGCTGCGGCGGTCTCAGTATACCGCGAGCTGTAGCTCACGGTATACTGAGCTTTGGGTCATGGGAGGATGCTAGTTTATGTCCTCCCGTGACCCTTAAGAGAACTATGGGGAAAAACACTTACTCCATAGTTCTCCTTTAAGGTAAGAAGATGGCTTTGGAATGGAACTCAGTTGGAGCTATGTGTGCAGGTTCCTATACTATACTAACGTTATCATTTGCTGCTCAGGTGGAGTGCCACATCTACCTGAACCAAGGCAAGTTGCTGAAATACCTCAAGTCACAGGAGATCGTACTGGTGGGATACAGCGTGCTGGGCTCCAGCCGGGATGAGAAATGGTAAGGTCATCAGATGACTTCATGTACTTGATCTATACTCATCAAAGCAGAATTGTAAGTAATTGTGTTCCTTTTCCCAGGATAGACCCCAACTCTCCTGTTCTGCTGGAGGATCCAGCGCTAAAGGAAATAGCAGAAAGGCTGGGAAAGACAACTGCTCAGGTGGCCATGCGGTACCTGCTACAGAGAGGGATTGTGGTCCTGGCAAAGAGTTACACACCAGCCAGAATCCGACAGAATCTTCAGGTGAGGGGACCATGTGCACTTCTAAAATTCACAGCAGCGTCTACATTTAAAGTATATCAATAGAAAAACATTTTCTGTAGATTTACAGTACCTTTGTTTTCCAGTGACCACTGTACAGGAAGTGAAACTTTTACAGTTGTCACTGGAAAAAAAGGTGAGGGGAGATCTTCCAATGGGGACACATATTCAATGATAGCTGTCTAAAAAGGGATTTCCCTCACTTTGGAGATTTCCTCTTACGTTCTGTTGTGTCCCCGGACAGGAAGTGAAGGAAAATTTCCCTAGAGGGACACAGAAACAGGAAGACACATTTCCAGTGGTTCTAACCCTTTCCCACTAAATCAAAATCTAAGAGAAAAAAAGAAGGTGCCCTCCCATCAGTAATTGTTGGTGCATTATGGGCTGCAGGTAGCACAAAGGTATCTGCAGTGTTTTAACATCTCCTATTGCGCATGTGCATTTGCGGACAGCTTTCTGTAATATTACAATTACTGAATGTAATGTGTGGCTCTTTGGTGATGTCAAGGGCCCACATATGAGGCCCCCTATATCAAAAAAGTTTACCACCCCTGCTAGAGAGTGTCACTTGAATGACAGCTCTGAGTCTGCTGAGGCCTCTGATATCAAATCCAAGATACTGAAGCTCAGCAGCAGTCACAGGCCTTTAAGATGTCTACACAAATGAGGATTTTACAGGTAAATAACATGCATAAAATATGCTAAATGCAGATATAATCTTATGGGAAGATGCTGGTAGAATGTCTTTGAATGTTGCATGCACTATTTTTGCCGATGGCACTGCACCGAAACGCATGCACTAATATGCCACGCGTTCAGGCACGAGCGATAGCACTGGAGGCAGGGGGCATGGCTGCGGTGCCATTGACTTCAATGCACCACCACGCCTCCTCCCGCCCCTGAACGCAGGGAGCCGGCCAGCTTGCGTTCCAGAGGCCGAATGCTCTGGAACACAGTCTTTGTGGTGTGAACCTGCCCTGACTGTATTCTGGCCTCAGTGTCCTACAGTTCCTATTAAGGTTAGGATTTGGCTTTTCCTGGTCCTGCTTCATGGCTTAGTCCTCGTATCTTCTACCTCCTGACGTTAGCCTTGACTCAAGAATTTCTGTTTTTCATGTTTCTGCTGCATGGCTTTCTGCCTTCTGTTTCAGCATTGCCTAAACACTGGCATGGCACATTGGTGGCCAGTTATCCCACCAACCATGAACACTGGGGAAACTCGAGGTTCTTGCAGTATCCCAAGAATTGTTGAAGGTGTCCTTGGCAAACAATGGCCACTTTGGGGAGCCCATGCCAGCTTCTGGTTTTACAGAGGATCCATTCAATTATCCAATAGCTTTTTAGCCCCCTAGCCCTCTTCAAACCCCTATTCCTTGACCAGGATCCCTGTGGGTCATTGCAGTAAATGTGCATGTTGCTTGTTTTTCAGGTATTTGACTTCCAACTGAGTGAAGAAGACATCATGGCCCTGGATGGCTTAAACAGAGACATGCGTTATATAAAAACTCCACAGTAAGTGTCATTCTATAGCCAGAATCTAAACATTTTTATATATACTTCCCTGTTAAGGATTTTAAGTTTGGTGGGTCCTGAAAAAAGCAACCAAGACACGAGCAGATCAGGGTGGGTTTGTTCCAAGTCATTTGAAATTTAGCAATTTGTTAGTGACACTGACTCTGCCGCTGAAACTCTTCAGGCCGCCTCCACTCTACCACGCTATTCCCCCCTTAAATGACCCTTTGTGCTGTTTCTTTGCTGATTGACTCCAGTCAATTATTACAGTTTAGCAGTTGAACTAACTCCGGGAACTCAGCCAACACACTTTTTTGGATTTGAATTGCAGCATTGATCTTGTTCAGATACTTGCTATGTTCACTTTATCCCTAGGGGCTGCCAGTGTCCTTATCTTACATTTATACGTTGGTGAATGTCCAGTACAGATTGTCCTAATACAGGAAGTTCAGTATAAGACCTTGAGACAAAGACATTGCGACAAACCTGCTGAATCTAACTCTATAGGATTGTATAAAATGTTCAAAGCAAAGTGAGTTAATTTCCTGATATTAGTACCGAAAACTGATTTTACTTGTTCCTTCAAAGCAGGGTTTGCGCTACTGAAATTCAGCTTAAAAGATGCAAAATGAGCTTAACATATTATTATTCTCCGCTAGCACACGGATTTAACCCATAATACATTTTGGCAGACTTTGCTTTATAAACAGTGATTTGTGGCTTGCATATAATACAATCATGTACAAGCTGGTCAACTGTGTCACAGTGATTCATCTACAGACAGCAAAATGGGAAAACCTTACATGGAAAGTTTGAATATAGCACCCATCCTGACTCAACTTTTCTTTGTTAGAGTTGGTGCACAGGAAATACCCAACAGAGGTTCTAATCCACGCATTAAATACTGTAATTTCTTCTCACCAGGACAGAACATGAGGTTATCAGGGGGTCACCAAGACACAGACAGCCATAAAGATCAGAGAGAGGTTCTAACCATTCCCCAATAGCTAAAAAAAACCAAAAAGGGCATAATATCTGCCTGTGTAAAGAGGTTAAATGCAACAAAGGGGCATCTTATCATGTCCTGTCCTTCTGACAACAGGACAGGAAGTGAGAGGAAATTTCTGAATGGGGGGACGGTCAACATTAAAAACCTAACAGAGGTTTCCACCCCTCTCGGATGTATGGAAAATATATTTACCTGCACATAGCTACTCCTCTAGGGGTATAAAGTTCCTCCCATCACGTCCTTTCCCGGTGACACCTGGTCAGGAAGTGAGAAGAAATTTTCCAGTGGGGACACAGATGGAATAAAAAAATTGACAGAGGCTCCAAACCTCCTCTCTTCTATATCCATAACATGTACCTGCATGTGGTTACCCCTCTTAGCACCTCCTGTGTTTGGATTTGAGCACAAGGCATTTTAGTTTTTAGCTAAATAATACAATACACATTACTTAATGTTGTGGTTTTCATAAGTTTTGTGTCTTTTACTACTAAGGTGGGAGGACCATCCGAAGTACCCATTTCACGATGAATATTGAAGAATGATGTCATCAGGCTTTACTGCTGATTGAGAAGAATTATCACAACTGAATGCTGGATCATAAAGAGGACTTATAATTGTAATTATTATGAAAATCAATAAACTACAGTTAGTTTTAAAAAAAAATGATGGCATCTGCATTCTTCTTTCCCTTTAATCCAGAGAAAAGATGAACAGGTTGTTCTCATGGAGAAGGGAGAGAGGGAAACATTGCTTAGATGCAGGGGCTGACTGGCAACTTTTAGCCCAGGGGGCAAGTACAACCCAGAGGCCCATGGTGCGGCGACTTGGCCACCCCACCCGCTCTGCCTCTTCCCCGCATTCTCCCCGGCCCTGTCTGCCACTTTTGCCATCCATGTAACAGTAGTGTGAATGTATTTATCGGTTTAGGAAATGTAAAGCACACTGGTAGTGGAGTGATGCCTCATCAGTGCTGTGCGCGTGTACGACTGCTGCGACTCTGGTAGTTCTTCCACTAACTCAGAAATACATTGTACAGCATTGCAGAATGGCATTGGCTATAGAGAACCACAATTCCAAGAAATACATTACACAACAATGCAGAATACCATCAGATATAGCGGACTATAAATCCCAGCAATAATGACTACCAACAGCTATAGAGAACTACAATTCCCAGCAATACCATTATACAGCAATGCAGGACAGCATCAGCTATAGAGGAGTACAAATCCCAGCAATACATATTACAGCATTGCAGAATAATATGAAGCTACATACTCTGTTGCTCTGGGTTCTCCGCCCGATGTCTCAGGTGGGCAGTGCGGGCTCTCACCAGGGGTCCAGAGAGTTTCACGGGTGCGTGTGTGTGCAGCAGAGGCGGCTCCCTAATTAGGCTCTCAGGTGGCCAATGCGGACCGTCAGGTGGTCTGTGCGGGCTCTCTGCTGGTCAGTGTGGGATCTGTGGTGGCCAGTGGGGGCTCCCTAATAATTAGTGGTGGCTCTGTGGTAGCTACCAGGTGGGCAGTGTGGGCTCTCTGCTCCAAAACAAATGGCTCCAGTGATGGACTACTAGTTTGTATTGAGATTGTAGTCTATCACAGGAGCAAGCTTGGAGCTTATTGGAAATAGGAAAAAAAAAGTGTGGTGTGCAATATAGTGAAATGGAAAGTGTAAAATTATACAGCAATCAATGCAGAATACCACCGGCCTTTAGAGGACTACAAATCCCAGCAATGCATTATGCATCGCAATGTGGAATTCCACCAGTTATAATGTACTATTGCTGGGATTTGTAGTCCTCTATAGCTGGTGGAATTCCACATTGTGCTGTATAATGTATTATTGCTGGGATTTGTAGTCCCCTATACAGCGCAATGCAGAATACCACCAGTTATAGAGGAGTACAACAAATCCCAGCAATACATTATACATACAGTGTATAATGTATTGCTGGGATTTGTAGTCCTTTACAGCTGATGGTATAATATACAGTACAGCACAATATACCATCAGCTATAGAGGAATACAAATCCCACCATCCCAGCAATACATTATAGAGCACCATGTGGTGGGGAAAGTGCAGGCGTATCTGAGCCATCTTCCAGCAACTTGCTTCTGAGATATGGCCTTTCTGTCGGCAGCTGTCATCCGCCCACACCTGCTCCTCCTTACTTCTTCTCCCAGCGTCCCTGTGCCGATCGTGGATGTGGGCAGTGTGTGTGAGGAGGTGCGGCATGTGGATGCCTCGTTCATGGTGGCATCAGAGAGGCCTGGGGGGCAATTGCCACCCTGCCCCCCAGCCCAGTTTGCCCCTGTTTAGATGTCTTACATAATGTCACATAGTCTCTTTGTTGGTCACATTCTGATACCCTTGAGGGTCCATCTAGTATCTGCTGCCTGCTCTGAGTATTGAGGGGCCAATCCACCCAAAACTGCTTAGGAATTGGTGTAGCAACATTACTACTACTATTTCTCTGTTTCTCCTGTAGAATCTGTGAGATCTCTGTGCTGTGTTTCTGGGTATGTACACTTGCCGTAGTAGCCATTATTAGGTGTTATTGTCATTACTGCTGGATTTATTATTCAAAATCTATTTCCACTTTTGCAGCCAAATTGGGATAACACCTATTTTAGATTTGTTACATGTTCCCATTCACATTGCATAAGCTAAAAAAAATACTTCTTGTAGTTTGTTGCTTTTACTTGCATTAGGGTTTCTGCTTGGCTTCTTAAGGGTTAACTTTTTTACCCTCTTCTCTTTTGTAATGTTGGGAGGATCTGTGAGGGGTGATGGGCTTCTCCATTGTATGCTAATAGGACTGAAATTTGAGGATTGTATCTTGCATTAACTCTAAGTCTTTCTATAGAACTATAAGAACAGATCACTGTAAAGGTGCTGAGAAAAACCTGGATTCAGCCATCTTGCCTGCTGCAACAAAACATATATTTTATTAGGTTTTTTTTCAATATGCTGTGTGAATAGGAACACAACAAACATCTAGAGCAGTTTTTATACAGCTAGGATTGTGGCAACAAAAGGTTAAGCCCAGGGTCACAGACAGCAAAGGACAGGCAGCATTATGGAGTATCAATAGGTTACGTCCAGGGTCACAGACAGCAAGGGACAGGCAGCAGTATGGAGCATCAAAAGGTTAAGTCTCGGGTCACTGGCAGCCAACCAGCACAATTAGGGATGGGCAATATTATTATACAGCTAGGATTAAGTCCAGGGTCACAGGCAGCAATCCGGGGACAGCAAGGGATAGGCAGCAGTATGCAGCAGCAAAAGGTTAAGTTCAGGATCACAGACACAAGGGACAGGCAGAAGTATGGGGCAGCAAAAGGTTAGATCCAAGGTCACAGACAGCAAGGGACAGGCAGCAGTATAGGGCAGCAAAAGGTTAAGTCCAAGGTACGGACAGCAAACCAGCACAATTAGGGATATACTGCAAACAAACCAGAAAAATCAGAGATAGGCAGCAATATTAGACAGGATTATATCCAGGGTCATGGGCAGCAATGTGGGCACATCAAGGGACAATTAGGGATATACTGCAATATTATTCAGCAATACAGGGTCACAGGCAGCAATTCAGGGCATGGCAGAAACAAGCAACCAGGACACAGCAATAAGGGACATCAAAGGAGCAGGTGCTCAGTTACAGGCAGCAATGACAGAGCAGCAATAAAGTGCAGTGGGGTGGCAAACGCACAACTGCAGCTCTGATGACCAGAGAGCAGTTGTTGTGGTGGCTGGTTGATGAAGAGTCCAACAGTACAAGGCAGGTCAGCATAGGTGCAGCAAGAGTCAAGAATCAAAGGGGCAAAGGAGACAAGTCCTATGGACCTGGATGAAGTTAGCGGTCCACACAGGCAGCAAAGGGCTAAAGTAAAGTGCGTCTTCTCTGGCCCCTGATCAGTTATTTAAACTCAAGCTTAGGCACAGTCTTGTGGCCAGGCAACGCTATGCTTGGCATGGTGGCCTTTTTTTTTCAAGCCTACATTTCAGAACGCATGAAGCAGGACTGACAGGTGTGGAGTGGCAGAATTTACGTGCAGGCGCTGGGGATAGGGGATGGCAGCTGGTTTAGGAAGCTCTTCTTCCTGTACTTGCACTAGTGTGGAATGAGGGTTATGCACAGGTTGCAGGGGGAGATGGTGCTGGGTCGTGGGTATAATTAGGGAATGATGGCAGCCTATGAAAGCCCATCTCCTTTACGTTTTCAGTGCCAACAAGGCAATCTGAACAGGTTCCCTTGGATGCTCTTGTGGGATTTTTTTTCTCTTTCTTGGGATCCTGTTGACAGGATAATATATATCAGCTACATCTTTTGAGGTGGTGTTATCCCAGAGGCCCTATTCAGCCAGGTGAGTGGGTTGTGGTCAGTAAAGATGGTCAACTCCCAGCCATAAAGGTTCGGTTGTAGTTTCTTCAAAACCTATATCGTGGTCAAGCTCTCTTTTTTGATGGTGGAGAATGCTACTTAGCTCACATAAAATAGTGCACTAATTGTGCACAAGATGATCCCAACGTGTCAGGTTATGGGAGGTATTTGATATTTTAATAAAAAGATGTTAATATCTTATACCATATAACTTTTACGGTGAGCACTATGCCATGTGTTTTTTCATGGCAGCAGAGGAGGACTCAATGGGATGGTGTTTGGAGCAACAGAGCCACAAGGAATATCCAGCATATGTTTAACCCTTTCCAAGGGATCTGCATTGTTAGACATTTATTATTAAGGTCTTTTATGTAGTTGAGCGTGGTTCCTTGGGGTGAAAGCATGGCTGATGGGTTGACAACTATTCTCATAATCAATTATTATCGATTAGTTGGTTGCAGCCCTAGTTCAGTAGGGGATAATGTATTGTGAGTATACATTCAACATGCTTTCTTCTGCAGGAGGACCTTGTCCCTAACCTATCAATGCACAAGTGATTTATTATGTTATATTCCACAGAAATTAGATCTTTCCACAGAGTGGTGGTATACCTTAAAATGACTTGCAATTTGACCTTTTTTCCCAAAATAACACTCTGGGGAATGAAAGAGCAGCTTTGATAGAAGCGTACACTTGGCTGCATGGGGGGGACATCCACTATTCAAGCCCATTTTCGTTCATATCAGATGTTTTTGGAGGATTGACTACAATAAAATGACTGACTCCAGAAAGAGTTTACGCACTGATTGAATATTATAAACCTTTGCACAGGTGTTTCCCGGGTGACTGGTTAAGACATTCTATCTATTTTTTAACCTTGAATAAAGGTTTCATGACAATAGGATCGATAAGCTTTGGGAAAATAACCCATGCAATATATTATGTGAACAAAAAAAAACCCATTTAGAGTTGTTCTTTTCTAGTGGTTTTCCAGTCAACTGGTTTTAGTAGCAACTGTTTGCTCTGCACAATCAGAATTAAGGTGCCCATACACCTTCCGATTATCGGACTAAACTTTTCGTCCGATGATCGAACCGTCGTACGATTTTCGTACGACGGCCCCATCCTGCCCCGATTATCACAAGGTTCAATCAGCGGTAGTTAGAAAAAAACACCTGGACGACTTGGTAATTGACCGCAATTATTTTCGTTTGCGCATGCTCAGTGTTAATCGTACGACTTTTGACAGACGGAAACGCCACCAACCATGCGAACATCGTACGATCAACCAAAGTTTTCAAACATGCTTGACCGTCAAAAGTCGTACGATTGTACAGTACTATCGGTCGGGCACTCTATTCACACGTTACGATTGTCGTACGAAAAGTCGATCGCATACGATTATCTTACGATAATCGTAAGGTGTATGGGCACCTTTAGAGTGTGTTGATAGGGTGTGTGTGAATAGTGGATGGACAACATTGTCCTGTTTATAGACTGATGTGTTTATTCATCTATATTTTATTTAAATATAGAATTTGTATAATAAAATACTTTCTATGTGGTTCCCTGCTATAATAGTTACTGACATTAGGTCAGTTTCGGGCTGCTTCTGTTTCTGACAAATATAGCATGTGCGACAGAAGTCAGCAACAGATTGGAAGATGCCAGGCCAGTAGCATGCCAGAGTCTGACGTTTCTCTGCTCTCCTTTTCGCCAAGTGTCTTGCTAACAGGAGCCTGAAAAGTTGGGGGATTATAAGCTCTTTGGTTCCAGTCAAGAGCTGGCCTGGGGTGCTAGCTTCCATAATGCAAAACAGTAACTTTTGCTCCAAGATGAGTCGTTCTTACCCCCCGCCTATCCTGAGGCCACTTGGGTGTGTAATTTGGAAGGAAGAGATTCTCTTCCTCTTGAGACAGTTCGATAAAGTGTACAGGACAGGTGGGGGGAGCCTGGGTGGCAGTTCTTGGGGCAGCTAGCCCAGAGGGCTGAGATTGTTTGGAGGGTGCTGGGGTATTACTAGGAGCTGGAGCAATGTGCCATCTGAAGGGTGAGGTTGAGGTGCTTGGTAATGGTTGAGTGAGACTCTGGAACTTGTATTGTTCGACTGCCCACTTTTTCCATTGTGGTTTGATGGTAATGCTTCTCCTTCATCCACTCTTGTACCTCAACAGGACATTTGACATAAAACTGTTTTTTCAGAGATGCCTCGATAACCTGCTTGCTATCCAGCCAGTGTTGGCAGGCCTGTGCTCTATTGTGAGCATACATTTTGAATGAATGCTCTGTGTGACAGGGGTCACGATATTGGATCCTGTAGGTTTCTGGGGTCACAGCATAGTATTTCAGCACAGTCTTTTTGATCAACAAGCCTGTAATCTGTGAGTTCTGGTCAATTGCCAAGGGCGAGAGACAGAAGGTGATACCTTGCACAGGGTGCGCCCTACACCATCCACATACTCCCTCAATAACCCCCGTCCGTGATGTAATAGAACATAGGGGCTCAAAAAAAAGACTTTCAGTACACAAAGGCTTTATTTCAATGCTAAAACTCCAACACCACCAAATGTATGAAACAATCAGTTCAACTCTCCTAATAATCTTTCTGATATAACCATTATTCTGCGCAGTGTGACATCACAGTACTTTGTGTTATCATGGTCTCGCACTGGTAAGACAGATGACCAATGTCAGATTAGGGCTCTGGGCATTGTGGTGACAGGTTGGAAAATCTGATGCCTTAATACTCCTCATAATAGGGGTATTTAGGAGATTCCTTCCAACTAAAGGGAAAGAAGCACAGAGATACATTAATTAGTGCTGCATTTGAGTACTCTTTTGCAAATCTTTTATCTATTCTCTAAAAAAAGAATAAAAGTAGGGTGAATTGCTTTGTATTTAACATTCAGGCATGGGGCAGTCCCATCTGATACTGATATTTTAATTTTGGGTGGGCTCTGATGGCCTTAATCACCCATCATATTCTTATACATATGAATATTTAAGAGTCAGGCCACCGGAAACTGATATTCAGTGTTGATAAATGCTGATTAAGCCCCTGACAGTCTCTTATATCTTTCAAGAATTCTGTTGTTGAGATCCCTGTGCTTAGTTCCAGGGTCTGCACACCTGCTGTGCCAATTATAAGGGGTTCCCACCATCCCTGCGTGGATTTCCCAGGTCTGCACACCTGCTGGGCTGAATTATGAAGGTCTCCCACCATCCCTGTGCTGAGTTCCCGGGTGTGCACACCTGCTGTGCCCATTATGAAAAGATCCCACCATCCCTGTGCTGAGTTTCTGGGTCTGCACCCCTGTTGTACCTATTATGAGGGGCTCCTACCATCCTTGCACTGAGTTTCCCAGGTCTGCATCCCTTCCAATCATCCATATTGGGCTTTTAATATTTTATATTATGGAAAATTTAAAAGCTGGAACACACAAAAGGTTGGTGGGACACCCAAACCTCTCAGGTGGGCAGGAACAGATTTGGAAACTAAGGCAGATAAATATTGCTGTTGGACAACATTAAGCAATCAATGTATCTATGGAGGCAGATGTATAGTACACTCTGCTCCAGCTCTCTGTACTCAGACAAATCCTGGGGGTCAGCCCCCCACTCAGTTCCTCCCCACTTCCAAACCGTGCATGAAAATTTTTGAGAACCACACCAGATTACAATCCCACATAAAACTTTATTAACTAAGAGTCAATGCACAAGCAGCTCAAACCCGTACTACTGACGCATTTCACTCAGCTATAGAGTTATTTTCAGGTAAAAAAGAGGGGGGAATCTGAGAGGGTTGTGCATTAACTCTTAGTGAATAAACTTGTATTATAGGATTGTAATCTAATTTTTCAATTAACAACAGAGGACACTGCAAAAGTTACAAACAATATCAGCTGTTTTGGCATCTGAATCAGTCACCGTCTTTTACACACACACACACACACACGCGCGCGTACGGACATTCTGAATAACTCTTCTACATAAAGTCATCTGTGTTTTTGGTTTAGAGATTCTTCCAAGCTATATAAGAAAAAGGCAAATTCTATCTGAGAATTCTATAAATTCCACAAACTGAAGACTACATACCTATCAATGTTCAAGTATCGCATGTTTTTGTTAACGCCATCCAACCTTTTCATGTTTTCAGCACTCAGCTCAAAGTCAAGGAGCTGCAAGAAATGAAAAAAACCAAAACATAAAGTACAAAGAAAATATGTTGAAGCAAAACAGTGGAAATTGGGACGTAGCTGGCTCTGAGGTTAACTCAGCTTTGCAACACAGCACAGATCTGTCTGGCAGGGAAGGAGAACTGATTTTCTCTGCTGCAGTTAAGTCACACTCAAAGGTCTTGTCCCAGCTTGTGACTGGACAATGAAAAGAGAAGCAAAAGACTGGTGAGCTCATCTCTCTGCTCTCTCGTACTAACACCATGTTCTTGGTTAACATATGAGCACTTCGGGAAACAACTGATTGCTCATTTTCCTGCTTTCTCTTCTCCCAGCCTGTGCTCGGCTACACATTAACTGCAAAAATCTGATACCAAATCAAAGTTAGGTACTTACACTGCTTGCATTACAAATACATTTAAGGATGTACTAATAAGTTTAGATTTGTGTTGATTATTGTTTGGAGAAAAAAATACTTTTTGTTTTCCCATAATCTCAAGTTCTGTTTTTGGAGCCTGAAGGGTTTGTAGAGTTTTGGGTGGGATAATGTCTCCAGTCCTTTGTCCACATCCACAGGCCCTTAGATGTGTGAGCTGACTGATACCCACAGCTCTCTCACCTTTGGGAGTCTGCTTCCAGGTGAAATGGTTGAGTTCTGACAGAACATTAAAAAGATACAAGCGCTGCATGTTTATTTTAGGGAACCCATTGGAGGGGCACCCTGCTAGTCAGGAACTGACCTTAATTTAGCTTGTGGCCCCTCGCACAAGCAGATGTTTTGTTTGTATGAGCTATGGGCTTAACCATAGTATGGGCTAAAGCCCTCCTGCATCGAAACTGCGTTTGTTTGCTGTCTAGCTGAATAAAGGTGCAGCACAAACCTGCTCGGACAGTTCCTGGGTGTCCACGTCTCATGCATAGGTTTACCCCCTTTAAAAAAGGAAGTGCTTATTATTGTTTACGGAGTTTTGCCGACATCTCATAGACCTGATCAGGGTCCTTCCCTCTTCTTTGGAGAAAAGGAAACAACTACATTTGTGGGAACCCTACCGCAGACAAAGCAAGACAGTGCTGCAGCTATGAGGACAGTACCCTTGGCAGTGTTAGGGATCTGGGTTCCCACCAATAACTCTGTCTGCATGGAGTTTGTATGCTCTATGCTCCATGACTGTGTAGATTACCAACAGCTGCCCAAATTACCTCCCTTTCCAACTCCAGAACTTATTGATAGGTTAACTGGCTTCTGACCAAATTGACCCTAGACTGTATGACTGTAGTGGGGGGCTACAAGCTGCTTTAGAGGGGGACATCATCTGATGCTGATGGTTCAACATGCTCTGAAAAGTGTTGAAAAATATAATATAAAAGTAAATATGCACTTTTGTTGTCGTCTGTGTGCCTGTTGCAGATGCAGAGATTACTCTTCTGTGTGTCTATCGGAGAAATCTCACCAATAGACACACAGACATTGGATTGGGACAGGGATTTCTTACAGACTGTCAATACATAATTTCTGGATGATCGACATCTCTCTTTGAGTCACCTGGAAGTTCTGCTTGATTCTCTCCGCAGTGAAGCTCTTTGCGAGGACGACAATCCCTCTCTGCAAAACATAACGCATCGCCACCTGCGCTGGGGACCGGCCAACCTTCTTTGCAACTTCTAGGAGAACAGGATCTTCCAGCACTTGGGGAGAATTTTGATCTATCCTTTTAGGAGAAAAGATGAGAAGCTGATTTTTGTTTTGTTTTGTTATAAGAATTAAAGTGAATCCAAACCCTAACTTAATGACGTTTATTTTGCTGAAGAAGTGTGTATCATGTACAATTGTCAGTATTTACAAATTGTGTAGCATTCTAAATGATGTTCAGCCAGGGTTTTCAATTTAAAATGTTTTTTTAATTAAAGTTAAAGATAAACCCCACGTTAACCACTATTCTCATCTAATGGGTTGGACTTGATGGACTAATGTCTTTATTCAACCTCAAATACTATGTAACTATGTAACTATGTATGTAAGCTGACCACACAAAATAAACCTAAATTTTACGTAATAAAAATTTGTTTTGTTTCTGCAACAAAAAAACGCTCTCTGTTTATGGGGCTCCCATACCTCCAACAGTTAAATGTGTGTAGAAGAATAGAAAAAATATATAGGAAAGGAAGGAGTTATTGATGAATGAGTAACTCTGTGTTAAAAAAAAATGTTGAAAAGGATCAAAATATTTGAATTTAAATGATTGCTTTTAGTGTTCTTAGATTTAAAAAAAAAAAAAAACACACACACAGTTTAACTGCAGTTAGTTTCTCTGACAGCCGCAGTGAAAGTGAAATATCAGTGTTTGTTCACATTTTAGGAGACAATGTCAGGGGACAGCTGATTTAGCTGGTTATAGCTTAGAACAGCTATGACTCAGAGAGAAGGACCTTGGCTGTCAAACATCAGGTATGGGCAGCTACATGAGATGGTGGGCAGAGGAGGCAAGAACTTATGGTCGTATGAGGTCCTTAACTAGCTCCATTTGCACTTACCAGCCCTCCACTCTGCTGGAGCCCAGGACGCTGTAACCGACCAGTACAATGTCTTTGGATTTGCAGAACTCCAGCAGTTTGCTCTGATTGAGGAATATGTGGCACTCCACCTGCAGAGAGAAACATTACTGGTTAGGAAGAACTCTGCTTTAAAAACCTAATTCATTAAACAAAAGCAAAAATTGTGTGTATACCCATTGACTCATAGCTGGAACTCCACTCACACTCCTTCTGCAATGGGCTGGAGCACATTCTCATGGGATTTCAAGTGCCCGGCTTTGCCAGGAGTCACAGTGAAGTGATTGTGGCTCCTTAAAGCGTCGGAAGCTGGGGCCAAGGTATTTTTTTATTTATCTTGTTTTGCCAAAGCATTATATTTGAGGTTTTTTTTAAGCTCATCTGTTTGGATTGAATGGCAGTAAAGTGGACCATCCATTTTGAAGGAAAGTCATATTTAGAACTGAAACAAGTACATGTGAGGTGCTGGATTTATATATATTCAGAAAATTGATCGGAATGGAACAAAGCGCAATGGCTCAGCTGAGGCCGCTCTCAACAAAAATGGAATGACCCATACAACAGGGAATCCAGGACTGAAGTTATACATGTATATACAGTACTGTCCAATGGAAGTGCCAAACAACACAGACTGAGAGTACAAAAATGTTTAATAATAGAATGGGTTCAACGTGACACAAAACAGTAAAGAACTGGTTTTGCTGATTCACTGATGTTGGTTATACCATACGCTGCACGTAATTATAATTAATCCCTGATGCTTTGTGCCAGTTTTGAGTCCATAATACTATCATGTTTAGGTTCTAAAGAAAGGGGAAGGTTTTTAAACCCTTGAAACACATTGGCTGTACCCATTCAATTGTCTTGTTTGGCGCTCTTATTGAACTGTATAAATGCTTAGATTTAGAACTGAGGAAGTCACTTGAATGGTAAAACATCTTCAACATTACAGAACAAGTCCAGGTAAATAGGATCAATTACTAATTGCTATAACCTTGATAAGTTAGAACCTTCACCGACATTGATAAGAAGTACAATACGAAAGCTGTTACCTGGTTACAAACGGGTTTATACTTCAGTCCTGGGGCATTTAAGATCAGCTCCAGTTGTTTGCGGTTAAAGTTGGACACTCCGATAGATCTGACCAATCCGGCATCTTTACAAGCCTCCAAAGCCTGGAAATCACAAGTTATATAGTTAGTCAAAAAAGACACATATTTATTAGGATAAACATAGAAAAAGGAAAACACCTCCTCAGAACCCTAAATTTACAATTGATATAGATATAGGCAAAAGCTTTATAAAGGGTAATCTAATATTTTTCCAAAGGGACAAAAAAATCCTTCCTGACCCCTAAAGTCAATCATATCCCCTGAATCAAAATAATACAACATTACTGCTTATAAATATTAGAAGTCATTTATTTTTTGTGTATTTCAAAACAGATCGAATCGATTTTTGAAACAGGCGATTTGTCATTACAAGAGTATTCCGCATTTTTGCAGTTCTTTCAGTGCTATAGGAGCTGTAGACGAACCCTTTCTGCCTGTTTAGGTTAAAGCCTAACCCAGCCAAGTGTATCCACTGTAACGCTGATCCTATCCACTGATAGGGTGACAACACAGAGCACTGTTACACGCAGAGCATTGTCACCCTATATCAGGAAGCACCAAAATAAGGACCTTCATGGCAGGATCACCAGGGATTATCTAAATAAAAAGCTGCAGATTCTAAATTTGACATGGTAAATCTTATATGAGATTTTAGTGATTGAATTAACATATTCTTTAAGCCCTCCTAAACAAACATGGCTGAGCCCAAAATGAATGACCAAATCTACCTTCCAGGTATCCCGGATATCTGTGTTGTGAAAAAGCACTTTTCCATTTTCGTCTTTGGGAAATGGATCGTCTCCAGGCTGGGAAGGAAGAGAAAAGGGAGGAGACAATGTTCAGATTCTGATTTATATTGTATCAGTAGTCATCAGAGGTAAACCATCTGTACTACTTTGGACAATTAAAAGTCAGTAGTCTGGTCGTACGATGTGTTGCATATGCCAAACTTGACCACCCCTGAGCGTCATCATTTTATTGAACTAAAATAAGATCACAACAAAAAATGATAAAAGTGATATTG